CTGAGAGCCCGCACATGACCTCTCCGGGCGTCACGGGCTTCCCAGTCCACGTGACGGGGTCCCTGGAGGGACCATCCCAAGAATAAGTGCTCCCAGATACTCGGGTGGAAAACTCAAGACCTCTTAGGAACCAGCCTAGGAAGGATCAAAATGTTACTCCTGCCACACTCTGTTGGTCAAGTAATCAGCAAAGCCATCCCAGATGCAAGGGTGGGGGGGACTCTGGCCCTCGACAGAGGACACGGAAACTCACACTGCAGAAGAGGGTTGAGATGGGGGATGCGAGCGCAGCGACTCTGGGAAAAACCCACCTGCAGGGACGCAAGAGGACATTGGAGAGCAGAGGTGAGCAGCGTCTACGGAGGACATCCCGTCAGACCGCACGCTCCTCACCAGCTGTACTTTTAATGAGTTTTCAAACCCTACACATTCTCTGCTCTGGATGCTTCAGACAGAAATTAGCTACAGCAGCAGCATGGTACCACATTTTATCCCTAATTTAAGAGTAAGAAAGTGACTGAAATATGGTCTTATCTTGAAGACAATAAATACAGATAAAATGTATAAAATCCAAAAATCTACATCAAAATGTCTTCCTACTTTTTGTAAATCTCTTTTTGATAAACCACGTTTCTGCTTACTAAATCAGCTAAAGGATAATAATAAATTTCAAGGATTATCTACTTTTATCAATAATCTACAAATTGATGGTTTTATAGGAGATTTAAGAAAAATCAATTCCAAACTGTGTACTATCTAGAGAGAGTAATATTTCTAAAAGGTTTCCTCTAAAAATGTTTCTTATATTTTGTTACTTTACCAACTTAGGATTTTTGGCTACTTTTTGTGGAAGTCTAGAGGTAGATTAATAATAGGCATGATGCAAACAATTTTAAATCCACTTTTGAAAAAATGAAAGCGATTGGCTACTCAGAGCCAGAAATTTAATACTGGCAGCAAAGCCTTTCAAAGGGACATTGTCCACTTTTTAAGCTGTTTGAATTGTTAAACTGTTTAAATTCACTAATCAAAGGAAATGACAAAATCCACTTGAGAAACAAGTATTTTTCTGAAACTAAACTACAGGTACTAACTATGCAGCATCTCTTTAATATAAAACGTCTACAAAGAAACACAAGTATTATGTGGATAAAACAGCTTGGGCCAAAACAAATATATATACATACAACTCAGAATTAACTAATTCTATCATTCAAAGACTATTGATTGATTGCCCGTTTCATGCCATGCCTGGTTCTTAAAAAACTTTCAAAAATTATTTCAAGAAAAGTAAAAACAGAAAAATGTATTTTCAGCAGAGAGCCATTCTTGATCATGTATCCAGTGAGAGGCTGGGAGAGACACATGTCCCCTCCCCCAGGAAGTCCTCCCTGGAAGGACGGCGAGCGGTGGGAGGCGCCCAGGCTGTGGCTCCTGTGTCACCATTTCAGCAGCTATTTGGTTGCTGCCCGAGAGCTTCAAGTGGAAACATTAGGGTAAACATTTTAAAAGTTTCAAGTACTGTCACTTGTATACGAATCAATAAACAGTACTTTGCCATGTCTGCATGAAAAGGAAATTGGTCCAGTGTGTGTCTATTCTACATTTCAACCTATAACTCAGCTCTAAATATATATCTCGCTCCAAATGCATTTTTGTTGGCCTTAATAAAAGAATTAATCTTGAGCTAGTGGAGTATTTGCTTCCTATTTTTGTATGAACAACAAATCTTCATTTAAAAGAAAAATGTTCATTCATTTCCAGACACACATTGTATCTGTGCCGATAGCATCATTAAGAAACGACATGTGATCTCTGCCCTCTTGAAGCTTACAGCCCAGCCCAACAAACAAGCAATGAACACAGCGTGAGAACTACTGTGTCTGGGGAAATAGGATGTCCTCTGAAAGCACAAGACGTATCAGTCCCCAGACTCAAACAGGGCTGAGAACACAGAGAGGGGTGGAGCCTTCCTGGAAGAAGCAATTTGACCAGCAGGAGACGAGGACTGATCTAGATGAAAAGGAGCAGGAACAGTGTTCCAATAAAGGGAAGAGCAGGTGCAGAAGCTCAGAGGAGAGAGAGAGAGAGCATGCAAGACTGAAAAAAAAAAAAAAAGATTCTATAGCAGTTCTGTTCAGCTGGGCTGGAGGAGAGAAAGATGGAGACATAAGTAGTTTCAATTATTTTAAATACTTTTTACACTTTCAGTGAGCAATTGGGAATCACTGAAGGGTTTAGGCAAGTGATATGATGAGATATATTTACATTTCAGAAATATCTCTAGTTCTAGAATGAAGAAGTCATTGGAGGGATTCGAAGAGAGATGGGGAAACCCATCCTTTCTGTAGATACTGGAAGACTCTCCCACAGAAGTGCAGGGAAAATGAAGAAAAATGGTAGAATTCTGAAAATTCAGTATTTAGGGAACAGACTAAGGATTTCATGACTGGGTAAAATCAGGTGGTGTGAGAGAAAAAAAGTGAAACATCTTTACAATAAGGCCTACTTTATCCTACTTTTTAATGAAAGGCTGAAGCTCACCACTAAGAGTATTTGATTAATGTATGGAATGAAAAATGTCTATTTTAAAATGTGAGCCAGGATCTTAAAACAATTTATGAAGATCAGTTGCTTAAGTCAGAGTCACTTATACAGGATAAAAGTCCATTTAATGTATTTGTAATTAGCCTAATCCTAACATAAATACGTACTTTTAAGAAAAGCAGTATTTTAATACATTCAGTTTGCCATTAATATATGCAATTTCAAAACCAGGGGAAAAAAAGCTCGATTAAAAATATACAGTACTGATGAAAACTTTACAGTATTCTAACTTTCCAGTTTCCTCATTGTTCACACTCACATGAAAAGACAAATAAAATAAAATCGTGTATAATTTAAAGCCATATTAGCTAAAACTGCCTGCTGACCTTGAGGAAAACAGACTTAAGAGCTATTTAAGATAATGCTGGCATTAAAGCAAGTCACAGATGTCAGTCACATACACACTGTTAAATTTTCTAGCAGTCATGTTTTAAAAAAGGAAAAACAAACAGCTGAAATTACTGTTAATGATATATTTGCTATAACTCCATATCTCCAAAACAATATCTTTTCAACACATGATCAATACGGAATCTGCATGAGCAACCCCGCATTCTGTTTGAAACCTGGTGTGTTTTTCATGCCCGCGGCACCACCTTTCAAACGTTGGGCTGTCATGTGGAGGCCACCCCCCTGGGCAGCCGGCTCTAGAACCTGGAGCCACACACCAGGAGGCTGCCTGCTCGGTCACCCCTCTGTGCCTTTGCAAACTTAGCCAATGGTCACAATGAGTAAAGGTTAAAAACATTTTAAAGCATTTGTACTGACTGTTTTGGTTACATAGATGTGACCATCAAGAGAACGTTAAAAGAGAGGAACTGTGGGTTGACACGTTGCTGAGAAGGTGACAAGAGTCAACAAAACTACTTAATAATAGAACATGTAATCAAAAACCAAATCCCCAAATACTTTTAAATCTCAAACTTAACTCATTTAAAATAATTAATGTCAGAGAAAGGCAAATATCCTATGATATCACTTATATGTGGAATCTAAGGAATAAAAATAATAAATGTTATTCACAAACCAAAAACAGACTCACAGACATAGAAAACAAGCTATGGTTACCAAAGGGGAAAGGGTTGGGGAGGGGTAAATTAGGAGTTGGGATTAACAGATACACACTACGGTATGTAAAATAGATAAACAAGGACCTACTGTACAGCACAGGGAACTATATTCAACAGCTTGTAATAACATATAATGAAAAAGAATCTGAAAAAAAATGCATATATATGTATGCATATGTATAACTGAATCACTTTGCTGTACACCTGAAACTAACATTGTAAATCAACTACACTTCGGTAAAATTTTTTTAATTCATCTAAATGCAACCAGTTAAAGGTTAATTTGAATATCTCCTGGGGGTTACTTCCTTTGGAAGTGACCGCTCTTTCGGAGACCCGGAGTTTGGTCAACTGCTAGCGGGGACTGCAAACCAGCTTCCCTCTTGATTTAATGCCGTTTTAAGTTTATAAGAAAAAATGTCACTATGTAAACAACAGACATTTTGATTAAACACCATAGTTCTTATTTTGGCTGTTAAATCAATAATGCAGCTGGACTGAAAGTAGTTTACATTCCAACCAAACTGGGCCCCAGTTCAGCTAGTATTGCTCCGACATCATTTTCCAGCAAGATTTGGTTCTTCTCAGTGGCCAGTTTAGAAATACCCTTCACATAATGTTCAATGTGAACACGTTTCCAGAAGAGGGTCTAACAAATGCCTGTGCTTAAAATAGCACAGTCGATCCAAAAATAGTCTCCCATCTAATGTGCAATTTACTAGTTAAAAAAAAAAGGCAAGATAATTTTAACAAGAAAAGAAGACAAAGGCCTTTGGCAACATTATTTATCTTTGACTTCACCTGAGACTAACTTCGGAGAATTTCCTATTTTTCTTTCCAGAGTAGATTAACTAACACAGAACTCGGAGCAATGATCTCCAAATCTGAACTCTTGGCGCTTTAGCCAAAATAGCGAGCTTCGGGCAGGACATCACAGATACTGCTACACGATTTAATAACACAACACAGACTCAGATGACTTACAAATAGAAAATACGCCCATATTATACACATAAAAGCCAATGACCAGCAGAAAGAAGCATTTAGAAAAAGGCAGTTAAACAGATCACAACAGGCCAGGATGAGTTTTTCAGAGAACATGACAACTTGCGTATTCAGAGTCGGGAACCAAAAATGAAAGAAAACAAAGCCAAAATGTATTCAAGACCATCCAAAAACTATTATTATTTTATGTGAATTAGAAAAAATGTCACTGTGATTCCATTTCAGCAGAAAGACACTCATGCAGCTGGCTGGATCCAGCATCTACAGGTAAGAATCCAAGACTCAGAATTTTTAGCCACAGGACCTCAAATTGCTCACCTGGAGAAACTCTCTGACATTGGATCCCAGGACTCGCAGGATTGTATCGTAACCAGATTCTTGACAGAAGACAAAAAACATCTTCCCAAACATTTGGAGGATTTCTCCAGCATTGAGATCTGTTTTATAGATTTGAGAGACAACAACAAAAACAAAACATATTAGAGGTGGAAAATTGTTAACGAGAGGAATGAAGGTATGTATATAATTTAAAAATGTTAAATACCCTGTTTTTGTGCAGAGTGACCATCTAGCCAAGAACGTCCAATGAAGGTTTGTACTTATAAACAAAGCAATCAGTTTCTTAGCTCCCGTGACAAAATTTTGAGCTTTTTTTTAAACTTATATTTAAGGTAGAAGTTATTTTTTCTGAAAATTACAGAAAGATCTTGAAAATCATCAAGAACACACATGCTATTTTGGTACAGAATGGCTTTTCCTCATGCATATGTAATAACTTGGCTGCATACAGTATGTACCCAAAGATCCTGCTTTTTCCTTAATATTCAATTATTATGTCCCAAAATTAAAAATTTTTTTCTGTAATATCAATTTTAATCACTACCTTATTCAACACAGGTATGCAACAACTTATTTCACAAATGTCAGCTTACTCAAAATAGAGGCTCTTTCCAATTCTTTAAAATGTAAGTAACTGAAATGGAAACACTCATATATCTTAATGCACATAAATCTAATAATTTCTTTAGGAAAAATTTCTAAAGGATTTCAACATTTTTAAAAAAGATTTTGACTGATGATGCAAAATTATTCTTCAAAAAAGTTGTCTTATTTTGCCATCAGATTTTAAAGTGTGAGTTTCCCCTTTAACTCTCCCCTTGACTATTTCATTTTTTAATTGCCAAATTCATATAAAATTATTTTACATTTGTGTCAATGCTGAGTACTAATGAGGCTGGATGTTTTTCTTATTATTAACAATTTACCATACTTTTCCATAATTCTTGTAGTTTAGTCTGCAAAAGGTGGTGTTTGCTCTTCCAAGTGTATCTGAGAAAGCTGAAAAGCTGCTTTCTATTCTATCCAAACTGTAGCCCAGTTATAAATGATGCACTATGAGGATAAGAGATACTAACTACCTTAAGAACAACTTTTTTTCCATAAAGCTTTTTTTTTTTTGCAGGGTGGACGACTTGGCCTTCTTTGCATTAGTTTTGTCTGATATAGATCTCTGTTCTTGTTTTTCTTACCAATACCCAAGAAAACTTGTGATTACAGAAAAGATTTGGAGAAAATACTTTCTGTATACCACACTTGTAATTCCTAGGCTGTTGACACTGCAATATTAAGTTATTACCACATTATTAGCTTATTACATTAAGTACCAATATTTTTTTCCTTCCTCAACACATGGCTTTTTGTAGGGAGGGGCAGAGAGCTCCTCTATTCTCTAAAGAGTTTGTAAGAGGAAAAATAGAACTCAGGGTAGCCTAGGCCTAACATTATATGTGAATATCCTCCACAACCATACAACATTACCCTTTGTTTTGGACACCTACTTGTAGCTCAGCCAGAGAAGGAAAGTCACGTTCAACTTACTGAGGACTTTGCTTGCAGCAGCAACCAAATCATAAGTTTTAGAATCATCATATATGATTCGGACAAGAAACTGCCCTTCTTCGTCTAACTGTGCCTCTTTTCTAGAAAACAAAAACAGGAGAGACAGGGGAAAGAGTTGAGATAAAAGAGCAGGGACTACAGCTCCAAGGATCACACAAAAATGGTTTTATATCTGAAACAGAATATGCTTTTGGCACATTTGTGCACATTGATGACATGTACCTAAAAGTCTGGTGACTGAGAACATCTTATTTCACATCCCCGCCCCCAAATTAAAATGATACATTTAAGTATGTCTTAGGAAGACTAATGTGTGTGGTACTCTAATGCCCAACGCAATACCTGGTAACAGCTGTAATCAAGAAATAACACTTGGTAAATGAATAGTCAGCAAACATTTGTTGAGTCCCTATGTGCGCCAGGTCCTCTTCTAGGCATGAGGGTTTCAGCCTTTAGTGAGATTAAGTGCCTGACCTCTTGGAACAAATGCATTCTAGGAGGGGAGGCTGAAGAGGCATGAAACTAAGTCATATACATACAGATGTAAGGGTGGGTGGTCTGGAGAAAAATTAAGCTGGGGAGGGGGAGGGATCTCATGTACAGGAGCAGGAAGCATCACTGAGAAGTCGCCAGTTGAGTCAAGTCTGAAGCCGCTCTGCGGGACCCCTGAGCCACCCGGCCAGGCAGGCCAGGCAGGCGTGTTCCGGGCGGAGGAAGAGCAGGTGCAGAGAGGGCAGCCCGGGTGTTGGAGGAACAGCAAAGGCCAGTGTGGCAGGAACAGAGGAGGAAGCAGAGGAGCCGTAAGAGGAAGGATCAGAGGTAACCAGGGCCTGGTGCGAACGGGGTGATGCTTTCATGTACTTGGAAGAGATGAAGGTCCTGGCACTTGTGATACAAGCGGTGAGATGAACCGACCTCAGTGAAGGATGGGCCTGTGGCTACACTGAGAATGGACCAAAGGCGCATAGGACGGAGCAGGGACAGAGCGAGGACAGAGCGAGGGCAGAGCAGGGAGACCAGTGGGGAGGCTACTGCGACATCCAGGAGAGAACTGTCGGTGATGGACTCTGGGTGGAGGCAGTTGGAGGGAGGGAGTGGCCCGGGTCCGGATGTTTCCTGAAGGTAAGTTCAGCACGGTTTGCTGATGAACTGGACACAGGATGTGGGAGGAGGGAAGGACGCAAGGATGACACTGCAGTTCTGGCCTGAGCAGCTGAAGGATGCTGTCACCGGGAGCTGAACTGGGAAAGAGGGTCAGCCCCAGAGCTGTGGTTTAAATGTCCTAAGTGTGAGGCGCGAGTGGACTGGTAAAATCTTGCAGCACATCCTTAGCATATTAAAGGCTCAGAATGCACACAGGATTAAAGAGGGGCAAACACAGTTATCATTTCAATAGCTGCCACAATTATATGAGTATGTTTACTTCAGTGGCATCTGGATTCTTTTTCTCCAACAAGTGTCTGTGTTGTTCAAAGTACCGTCTGCTACGGAAGAGCACTGACGGGCAGGGTCCCAGAGCGCTTGTCCAGCTTGAGACCCACGATTTCAGGAGCGTCCATCTCCGCCTCTGACTCCAAACCCAGCCATCCAAGCCCCCGGAGGCTCCGGGAGAACGAACACAAGTGACGGAACAGCCCCTACCCGCCACCCAGGCGGACACAACCACCTTCTCCCCTCGGAGGCACTGCTGTCACAGCTGCTGGGACACCCGGGGCTGGGACACCGGCGTCTGCTCGAGGGAACAACTCCAGGCGGCAGCACAGCTTAGGTGCAGGCGGGATGGAGATTTCTCCCAGACAGCCTGTGTCCTTCAGGACAGGCCACCTGTCTGCCTGCCATGACGCTCCAGCGTGCACGTCGGGGGGAAGAGGAGTGTGATTTTGGCGGGCACGGAGATGTGACCTTCAGAGCCCAGGATGTACCAGCCGATGAGCTTGGGCAAGTCACATAGAGCCTGTGAGCATTAAAATCCCTCTTTTCTAAAATGGGAGCAATTGTATAACCCAGCTGCCACAGCTGTAAAGAGGTAGAGCACAGAAGCACGTTCTAAGCGTGACGGGTATTACCAAAGCCCACAGCACTTACGTTCACAGACTCAGAAACGCAAAGAGCTGCAAGTAGGTGTGAGGTTCTCGCTCTGGCTGAACAGACACAGCTGTTAAATGAAAGGAACACATCTCTAAGACTTCAAGTCTTTTTAAAGCCAAAAGTCAGTGAAATATCCCCAAATTATGAAGACAGAATGTAAAAACACTGACTTGCCTTAAGACAAATGCTAGTGTGTATCCTACACGTTCTAATTTCTAACTGTATAAAAATATACAGTGTGGGAAAAGGAAAACTTTACAAAACCCTCCAGTGTCCTGAGATGACACTGCTAATGTTATATTCAGGTTGCTCATACTTGAAATACTTGGATATGTTACACATACCAGATCATACTCCTATGAAACCTCCTTTCTTGACTTCCTACTGGAAGTAAATGTCAGTAAATTGATTTCTATCCCTAGACTACATAGAATTGCCTCGGTTACACACATTGAAGTTTCAACAGGTATTAAATTGCTCTTACTTTTTCACAAGCACAAACAAAAGGTTGTGATGAATACCTCTGTAACTAATATTTATATTTCTATGTAAAAAATAGGATACATTCCTAGAAATGGAATCATTGAGTTGCAGGATTTGGAGGGCTTCATTTTTTTCTCCTTTTTGTCACTAACATTTTATTATGAAACAGCATTGGTCTACAGATTCTAATTTCGAAGCCTCTGATTTAGGGCATTCTCATAAAACATAAACCAATCTTAATTAAAGATATAATGAAGTACAAATTAATTCATGCTCTCGCTGCGTCCTATCCTTTTTCTTCCAACTGGGGTAAATCAAACAACATAAATTTGTGTAACAGACTCAGTTTCTCAGAAAGTCACCAGTGAGCTACAAACAGAATACACAGTTCTTCTGCATGAAATAGAGAAATGGCCATCTCCCTAGGGACTCCCCCCCCACCATAAGTCAGTGTGTCCCTCTTTTCTGTCTCCTGCTTTAATAAAATAAGCTCCCTTATCTTTTAAGCTTTACTTCCTGAAGTGTTCAGCCCAACACACCTCCTGGAGGGAGGCTGAAACAGAAATTAAACAGCAGTACATGAAAGGAAATAACCATCTTCTCTTAAAAATTTCACACTGAAAACCAATGAATTATTCAAAAGACTTAGAATTCCTTATTTACAGTTGTCTTGGGAAACTTTTGAGTCACCTTTTAATTATACTTTTTTTCCTCCTGGCGGGAGGGGGATGTTTTGCCGCAAATACTTGAACAGCTATTATGCCCCAAGCACTTTTCTAAGTACTTTTACTGTATCAGTGAACAAAATAAAGATCTCTGCCTTCATAGAACTTACAATTTAGCTGGCAGAAACAAGTGACAGCATATTAATATATATAATTAATATATATAATATATATTATTATGTTTATGAATCATTATGTTTACATAACATACGTGCAAATTGCATAATTTACTCCAAGATGATAAATGCTACAAAAGACAGCAGGGGAGGATACAGGGTGAGACGAGGGGGTTGGAGGGGGAGGCAGGGCGCAAGGTTAAATGCAGTGACAGCCGGCGGCTTCCTGAGGGAGTTAATGTTTGAGCAAAGACTCCAGGAGGCAAAATGACCCAATCTCTCTGGATCCACTTCACTTCTTTCTGTAGCCCATTCCTCCAATTCTTCCCTTTTCAGAGTAAAAGCTAATTGGAGATATTACACTTTATTAATGATCAGCTCACTCCATTCAGCTGAGCAGGGGAACTTAACAGCGCAGAGAAGTAATAGCCAAAAAATTAATTTCAGGCAGTATTATTGTGATTAATGTCAGTAGACATTTTGAGCTAATAAACGCTTTCTTGGGGTCTCTTGATTCTCAATACTGCTTTTCTTCCAGCTTCCAGGAAAATGTAGGTTTGTTCAGACTTTGTGCTGGTTCAGCCTCCAGAGAGCACGGACACGTGATGACAGTAATCTCTCAGATTTATTTTTAACATACATCTGCCTCCATCCTTTAAGGGAAGCTCTAAAGCCTTCCTTCCAACGTGACACAATTTCTTCTCTCCTTAGTGTTAAAAATGTCTCTCACCAGCGACCTGAAGTCACAGAGGATGACCACCACACGTAAGAGAGTTTGGGAAGGGAGCTGGTATTCAGGTTACAAAAACAATGTCCACAGCTCAGGCACTCTGACCGCGTAATTCTCCATCCCTCACTTTCCCAACCCATAACTTTCAAGGACTTTTTTTCTTAAAAGCAAAGTAAAGGATGAATCCAACATACAGATGTAACACTTGTAACAATACTTGAAATCATTTTCTTGAATTCCTTTTGTGCTTAGACCATCCCAATTCAGTCAGGCACATGAACCAAATCTTCTAGACTCATTCATTATTCAGAACATATTTTTGAGCATCAATTTTGTCTAAATTGTTGTACCACACCAGGAAATTATGTAATTTCCTGTAATTTAAATTATATTTACATAGGAGGAGAACACAGGCTTCTCCAAGAAACATAGTTTAAAATTTCCCTGAAAAGAAAAAAACGACTTTGGACATAGGTTTGGTTTTCTTTCCAACACTTTTTCGGTGACAAAAAATACCATATCAAGCCATAAGCAAATCGGAGCACAGTGTATTCAACACTGTTCATCTACCAAATGGTAACCAATGGAACAGCCATCACCATATATTTGGCTGGTGTGACCGCATTCCATTGTTTCCCATTATTATTATAAAAATCCCTTGGAAAACCCCAAACAGACATAGTGTTGCACTTTTCCAGATAGTATGACATACAGTAGTTTGTGTTATCTTCCCCTGTATACTTAATAAATGTGGTTTGGCAGGGGGGAGGCTAAGCATTAGAGTTCTCTACTTGGCGCATCACTCAGTGATTCGAGGTGGAGGTGCGGGTGGGGGGGGAGGACCAGGAAGTAAGTGGAGGAAGAGGGGGAGGGGACAACACAGCCTTGGCGGCTCTCACTCAGCATCAGAATAATTAACCTAAAGTTGCTCTCAATTTGTGGATTCGCTGATAGGATTCAT